GAAGTGATTTCTACTCTGGGAAAACTAAAGAAGTACTGGTGGACAGGTTCAACATAGGTAGTCATCAAGATTTTCTCAACAACAACAAAATAGAATTGTGAAGAAGGCATAATATGCAGAGAGTGTGAGGTTAGTAAGAGCAGATCTACTGTATTGAAAACTCAGCCACAGAAGAGAAAGAGCCTAAGTGTACTCTTTTTTTTTTTTTGGTATTTCCTTTTTTTTTTTTATTGAGAAAAGGAAAAAAAAGTTTCCCCCTCCTTCCAGCCTCCCATTTCCCTCCCCCTCCTCCCACCCTTCTCCCCATCCTCCACTCCTCTTCCCCTCCCTCTCCAGTCCAAAGAGCAGTCAGGGTTCCCTGCCCTGTGGAAAGTCCAAGATCCTCCCCCCTTCGTCCATGTCTAGGCAGGTGAACATCCAAACTGGTTAGGCTCCCACAAAGCCAGAACATGAAGTCGGATCAAAACCCCATGCCATTATCTTTGGCTTCTCATCAGCCCTCATTGTTCGCCATGTTCAGAGAGTCCGGTTTTATCCCATGCTTTTTCAGTCACAGTCCAGCTGGCCTTGGTGAGCTCCCAATAGATCAGTCCATTGTCTCAGGGGGTGGGTGCACCCCTCGTGGTCCTGACTTCATTGCTCATCTTCTGCCTCCTTCTGCTCCTCATTGGGACCTTGGGAACTCAGTCTAGTGTTCCAGTGTGGGTCTCTGTCTCTATCTCCATCCATCACCAGATGAAGGTTCTATGGTGATATGCAAGATATTCGTCCGTATTGCTATCGGATAGGGTCATTTCAGGTTCCCTATCCTCAGCTGCCCAAGGAACTAACTGGGGACATTGCCTTGGGCTCCTGGGAGCCACTCTAGGTTCAAGTCTCTTGCCAACCCTAAGGTGGCTCCCTTAACTAAAAATTGTGCTTCTGTGCTCCCCTATCCAACCTTCCTTTATCCCAATCATTCTGTTTCCCCAAGTTCCCCCCATCCTCCCCTTCTCTCTTTTCTCTTCCCATCTCCCCTTACCCCCATCCCACCCCACCCCCAATATCCCAATTTTCTCCCCGGCAATTTTGTCTACTTCCCATAGCCAAGAGGATTAACGATATGTTTTTCCTTGGGTTCACCTTCTTATTTAGCTTCTTTAGGTTCACCAATTGTAGATTCCGTGACCCTTATTTATGGCGAGAAACCAATTACGAGTGAGTACATCCCATGTTCATCTTTTTGGGTCTGGGTTACCTCACTCAGGATAGTGTTTTCTATTTTTATCCATTTGCATGCAAAATTCGAGAAGTCATTTTTTTTTTTTTACCACAGCGTAGTACTCTAATGTGTATATATTCCACACTTTCTTTATCCATTCTTCCATTGAAGGGCATCTGGGTTGTTTCCAGGTTCTGGCTATTACAAATAATACTGCTACGAACATAGTTGACATAATGCTTTTGTCATATGATAGGGCATCTCTTGGGTATATTCCCAAGAGTTTTATTACTGGGTCCAAGGGTAGGTTGATCCCGAATTTCCCGAGAAACCGAAACACTGATTTCCAAAATGGTTGCACAAGATTGCATTCCCACCAGCCCACTTTGTGGCCAGAACTTGGAAAAAGCAGGGGGGGTGAGGGACATGCAATATTCAGATGATAGATAAGACTCATTGAAAGAGGGAGGACAAACAATGCCTGAAAGGCAAGAACTTGGGTAGGAGTAGAAAATAAAAAGGCTATTTATTTCTAATGTCCATAGGAAAATAACGGTTGCTGGTGCTTCATTAATGGGATAAGTGAAACCACAGGCACCTTATAGTGTTGGAACTATTATCGTAATTAAGTGAGAGTAGAAATCAAAGGCTGCTTGTGAGTTACTGTGTTAGGCCAGCAGGTTATTATGTTAGGCTAACACATGAAAGGAATCAATGAGAAAAGCGTATGGACTGTATCCCTCTCTATAGCATTTTAATGGCTTTCTCAATGACTGACCACATTGATACATTACACTTAAATCAATGCCTGTAGAGTTCTCTTGTCTTGATGTAACTAACCTATTAAATGTAGCGTACATTCTTTCTCTACTGTAGTTTTAATTAACAAAATATGTGACGATAAAAGAAAACTGGAAGGAAGGAAAGAAGGGGAGGAACTGAGTGGTCAGAGTTGCAGGACACGACACTACCTCCAGTTTCAACTCACTTTTAAAATACTACTCCACATTCTTGCAAACACTAGGTGATGCAACGCAAATCCTTTTTAATTGGTTTTCCCTGGCAGTAATAAATGACTGTTTTAGAGTGGGCATACAGAGAAACCCTGTCTCGAAAAACCAAAAAAAAAAAAAAAAAAAAAAAAAAAAAAAACAAATAAATATTTACAAAGTAAATATATACTAAGTAAATATGGTTTTCACTCAACATCAGAGAAATATATTAATAAAATAAATGTATCAGAATAGAAAACTATGACTATCTCAATAAATACTAAAATTAATTTGATCAACTAAGCAAGTATTCATGCTAAACAATTGGAAATAGGATACTTAGTAAGCTGAATGATCAGGATCAACTAACTATGTAAAGAAAAACCCATATCACACCTAAAATTCATGGTAAAAAATTTAATGGTATTTAAATAAGCTTGGAGTAGTATATCGATGCTGTCATTAGGACTATAAGATATTGCACTGAAGATCAAGTTAATGTATATTGAAGATGACAAGATGAATTAAAAAGTGAAAAAAAAATCGCCTTTATAAATAAAACAGTTGTCTCCAGACACTGGATATATAACAGAAGGGAAAGTATGCACACAAGGTGAGCATATATTTTGGACATGAGCGTGGTAAATAGAAAATGATTGTCCCCTCATGCTAATAATGTTAATAATCTGCTGGAATTTTATTTTGCAGTGCTTGAAATTTATCTCGGGGGTCTCATGCATTTTACCATTACCACAGCATCAAACCACACAATATGTAATGTAAAGAAAATTGTGCCCAATTTTGCAATAATTATGAGAAATCTTTGTAATAAAACCCTGCAAAAACTTTAATAGCATGAATTAAAAAGCATTACAGAACATATTGGACCCATACATAAATCTATATATATAAAATGTTCACCAAAGACTTTTCTCTAAACCATAAAAAAAATCTATAAATTCAATTCTCAAATTTCATTAAAGCACAATAAATATCCAAACAGAATTTTTTAATGGTTCTTGGCTGGTTTATTCCAAGTATTTTATACTTATAAAAATGAATAAAGATCCAATCTTAGCTAACATAATTCAAATAACATCAATAAGGAAAATGAGGTTGCAAAAATTTATAGATACAAAAAGATTAGCGTTGATTAGGTATTGTCTATATTTTTCATGTTCAGTTATTTGTATCTAATATATCTCATAACTAAACTTAAACATAGCTGAAGTTCTAGAAGCAAAAGAAAACTGTTCATGATCATTTTGAAAACGATACAATAAGATGGCCTTCAGTAGCCCATTGAATAGACTTACTAACAACATTTTTATCTTGACTTAACATTAATACACCACTATTAAAGTTTGGCCATAAATTTTTGTGTCTGATGTAAATGAAAGATTATGTGACTACAATATTCTTCCACACAACAACCAGTATACTAAGCTTTATGGATTTTGATTATCAAGATACCATAAAAGTGCATACAATGAAGTGAAGGTATTTGTAACTCATGAAGTAAATTTAGTTATTTACATATAAGTTAATTTTTAAAAGCCAACATTCCAAAATAAAATGAACGTAAGCTGAGAACAGGCATCTTTCCAGAAGGTCTCATAGCCATAGGGATCTAAAGAGGTACATATTTCCTTGATGGAGGAAAAAATGCACAAATTAAAGGGACTTAAATTAGATAACATTTCAGGCAAAAATTAAAAGTTTTTTAATTACTGATTTCTTTTTATTCTGTGTACATTGGTGTTTTGCCTGGATGTATGTTTGTGCGAGGGTGTAAGATCCTCTGGAACTGGAGCTACAGTCACGAGCTGCCACATGGACACTGGGAATTGGACCTGGGTCTTCTGGAAGAGCAGTCAGTGCTCTTAACTGCTGAACTATCTTGTGAGCTCCTAAAAGAGAGTGTTTACATGGAAGATGTAAGTTAGTTGATGCAATATGATTCGTATGTGTAGGAATTTCAAAACATAAACATGTATCAAAACATGTTAGCATAGAAACTCAGAGCAATTCACTTATACAACATGCAAAACCATGGATTTTTTTAGAAAACCTATTTTCAGAAGAAAAAGAAAATAAAAAGCAAAATGCTGCCTAATAGTGATAGGAAAACAAGAATTTTGGTTTTAAGCTTTTGGAATAAGCACTGGGGCATATTTTTAATTATTATTCTTTAAATTATTTCATGTATCTTTAAAAACCAACAGCTTTTTAAAAGGAGACTTAACAATACTGTTTACATACTCACACCTGCAAGTTTCAGTCTTTGAGTCAAGGTTTCCTGGTTACCATGAAACCAAACCAAAACAAAACACAAAATCCTCTTGGTGTCTGAGGCTGATGTAAGATGCAAATCCCAGCTGTAGCCTCTGCTACAAAAGTTCTTTTCTTTTCTTGCACCTGATTTATTCTCTATTTTTATTGTCCTTGGACATGTGCGATTCCTGGTAGACCTGTAATTTCCACCTATCTTTGTCTGTCTACTTCTGGTTTGCTCTCATTTATAAACTAAAACACATTTTTAGCTTTAAAATTTTGTAAACATTTAATGAAATATAAATAACAAGCAACATGACGACTTGACCAGTGTCACTGCTTAGTCTTAAAGGCTAAAATGTCAGAGATCTTAATGGGAATCTAGCCTTCCATGGCTTCTCCTGCTGCCTCCACTCTGACCCCTTGCTTGATACCAGAACATGCTTGGAGGCTCTAGTCCCGCCCAGCAGAGCCCCGCCCCGCAGAGCCCCGCCCCGCGGAGCCCCGCCCCCGAGCCGCGCCCCGCGCTGCCCTCTGGGAGGCGGGACGAGGCGGAGGCGGTGGCGGTGGCCGCTGCAGTCTTCCCTGGCAGAACTCAGGACTCCTTCCCTCGGTCCGGTCGGCGAGTCCCCGCTTGTGGCAGGCCCCAGCCCCAGGTGAGTAGCTGCGGGACACCTAAACCACGGCCCACGCGGACTCCACTGCTAGCGCCTGCGCGTTTGCCCGCCAGCCAATCGTAGGCCTCCTTCCCGCTGCGCCCTTTGACCCTGCGTCCCAGGCGCCTTGGAATCTAATCCCGCTCGGCCCGGACGCCGGCTTCCCGCTAGGTCAATGCCGGCAGCGCGTGGGAGCCCGACCTGGGCCTGCTGCCCGACACCCCACAAGCTGCAAGTTTTCCCTGAGGCGGTCCCCCACCCCTCCTCCTAGAGCCCCGAACTTTCGAGTGCGTCTGGAGGGCCCGGGCGATCGTGGCGCCCTTGTCCCAGCTTGGAGCCCCGAAGGCGGCCTGGACAAGTCCGCCCTCCGAGGTCTTTGTTCCCCTTTAACACGCTAGGCTCGGTACTGAGGACTTCCCTTCGCTGGAGGAGGGTGGCCGGTTTCTTTTCCATTTGCGGAGGAACAAGTTGAGGGTACTAGCGGTTAAAACTTTGGTTTTCTTGTGTCAAGGACTTATGGATAATAGAGGGGAAGATGGAGAAATCCTAAAAACTAACTAACATCAGCACTCGTGTGGATCTGTTTGTACGAGCTTAGAAAGACAAATAAATGAGACAGGACGGTACTCTGTAGGCGGCATTTTTAAAGAAAAAATGCAAATTTAATGTAAGTTTTGGTAAAACTAATTCAGATTTCTAAATCGCTTTTATGCAGTACTTTCTTGCACTCTAAGAGCGGTTTGTAAGCCATGAAAACCTCAATTTTACGGCTTGTAGTCTGTGTAATACAGAAAGCTGAGACTCTTACTCCATAGTAAGTAACTAGTATGTGATCACGAGCTGCCTTCTAATTAAGTGTGTACCGCAGTTTGGAAGGAAACCGTTGATTATTTCGTCTGTCGGCTTCCAAGGTGCAAAAATCATTGCAGTAAAGTCTTCTATATTTGAGGCCACCTAGGCCGGAGGCAGGAGCCCACGTTGCAGCCCTATGTTTTGCCCTTGCTGGGTGCTTGGTGGCAGGTTACTTGGCTGTTTGCCAGTTGGCTCAAAAGCTTGCAAAAACCTCATTTGCTTAGTTCCATCGCCGGTAACATGAAGTTCTGCTTCATAGATGGTTGTAAGGATCAAAAGGGAAGCCTGACTGGATTTCTGAATAAAGTTTGCAGTAAATCTGACCCGGAGCAAGACTCCAAAAGTTTCAGATGCGTTGTGTGTTCTTAGCACTAGTTTGGTCTGTCTCTAGGTACTTCTAGCATAAAATTAGAAGAACGTAGTATGAACACAGAAGAATAAGTAGGAGGAATCTTTATAATTTGATTATTTTAAAAGGGAAACTGGTGTTTCTGAGTTTCTAATATGAGCAGATACTTTTAAAATAATCATTTAGATCTCTTAGCTGTTAAGTATATAATACATTTTTATTGGAAATCACTAGACTTTCACATTAAATATCATTTTAAAATATTAAAAGCACCAAACATAAAAACAACATGGTTTCAGGAGAACCAGTTGTGGGACTCTGGGACATGTAAACTTCCCTTTGATGAGGACAAGTTGTCACTGGCCAGTACCTTGAGCTTCCTGCTTTTGAGAACCTCTACACCTGCAGTTGACTTGTAGAGGCTTTTTTGTTTTTCTCACAAGGAACTTCTGAAACCATTCTTTAGTTAAAACCAGGTGAGTAATTCCTTTGCCTGTCTCTTGCGAGAGCAGTGTTTTGGAAGTGTTCAAGCACTGTTAGTGTTTTAGTGTTTGTTTTAGAGTCCAGAGGCGTTGTGTTGGCACAGATATTAAGACAGTAATTTGTTTAGATGGACTTTAAAACTATTGAATTTTCATGAATTTTCTTTTATAGTATTGCTTATTATAGACTATTACTATATTATAGACATACTGCCCAAACACATGACAGTGTCAGAAACAGGAGGGCCAAAAAGTAAGCTTAAGAGTGATCAGTGATGATATTTGTTGGGATCTACTAGAGTACAAATAACCTCCATTTCTATGGGATAGAAAACTTGTACACATATAGTTTACACAGTGTACAGTGTTAGAAACGCCAGCATTAAAGGAAAACGCTGCTGCCTCAATAGAGCTTTCTACTCAGGAGTCTTTAGGAGAAGAATCAGGAAGAGGAGGCAGATTTCTGCTTTGTCTTGCACCTTGAATATTATTTTAGAGATAATAAAGACTATGCTTTATTGTTTGTATTCTGCAGGGTTAAGGGTCAAACCTAGAACCCAAGGAATTGTTCATTGCTAGGCATATGTTCTAACGCCTGAACGACATGCTCAGTTCCATATGCTGGGTTAGTTTTTATTATTAATTATTATTATTTTCATTTATGTTGAAACAGCCTATTTGTTTATTTATTTTGAGACAGAACCTTACTAGGTAGCTCTGGCTAGCATGGAAGTTCCAGGGTGGCCTGGAAACTCATGGAGTTCTACCAGCCTCTGTGTTACAGGTTCTGGGACTAAAGGTGTGTGTCACCACATACAGCTGCCATGTGCTACTTCTGGGATGTTGTCATGCCACCCATCTTTTCATCCTTATCGTCATAAGTAAATTGTTCATGGTTCATAATTGCTTAGTGATATATTATCAGATGGGAAATAAGTCTTCACGCGGACAAAAATCCTATGAGTCAGAGAACTGCAGTGGAGAAAAATGTAGAAACATCGGGCTAGGGAAGCAAAGATAGAAATTTGCACTTATTGTTACTACAGAGCTAAAATTTTTTAAATAATAATTTTTACCTATAGTTTGAAAATTTTATGTATGCTTACAGTGTATCTTAACCTTACCTACTCTCCACATTACAAATTTCCAGAATCCCAGAGTCCCATCTCCCAACTTTATGACCTCATAACTAATTAATTATTTTACTTAGTGCTGCACAAGAACACATGGGTGTGGGGTCATCTCCTGTGGTATGAGCAATGTGGAGGTGGCCACGCCCCGAAGAAAATGAGACTGTCTTCCTCCAAGTGTCATCAACTCCCAATATTCCTCAGCTAGATTCTGGGCCTTGGGTGAAGTGCTCCATGCTGGAATTTGTAATTCTCTAGTTCTTATTCAGTTAAGCACGGCTGCTATTGAGTTCTTAGCTGCAGCATCCAGGCCATGTCCAGAGGACAGCGTTTCAAAGTTTTCCTTTCTTACATTCGCTTTGTTCTTCTCCAGCAGCGTTCCATGTTCCGATGTTGTAGGGACAAGAAGATAGTTCCAACTAAGCACTTCTTTTCTGTTCTCAGCAATTTGTTCAATAATGAATCTCTTCATTAACTACAATCAATGACAGTAAGAAGTCTCTCTGTACAGCCAAGAGCGTCCCAAATCTATGAATATATAAACATTTAGAAGTCTGACCATCAAAACCTCTCCTGGAAACCCTTGACTTACCTAGCCATGGATTTTGACCATGTTACAGATAGCAGGCATGAACTTATCCCTGTAGAGCATGCTTTAAATGTAATCCAGAGAACAGCTGGTTACACACAGTAGGTACCAGTAGGCATATTTGGCAGATCAGTATTGTAGCACCAGGTAAGACCACTTATGGCTTTCCTACCCCAGCCACCTTCATAGCACCTTCCAGCACTATGAAAGATGGCCTAGCAGGGACAGAGCTCAGACGTTTCAATACAGTGATTGAAGCGACTTGTTAAGAAGATTGGGATACCCTTCGTGGTTGATCGCTAAAGATGGAATTGGTTTTGTGATGATATAATAGTCATTTGAAATGAATAAAATCTGTAATATAAGAAATAATGGTACAGCTTAAGGAATTAAATTTATAGGCAAGAAGTATGGGGGCAGAGATACAAAGGCAGTGTCCATAAATGCAAATTTTGGTTATGCATTGAAGGATCTAATAAAGGAACGAGAAATCACACACACACACACACACACACACACACACACACACATACAATCTTTAATGTCCTTTTTATGTTTCTTTCCTCATTTACTTCAAATCTTAAGTAATAATCAGTAATTAAACACTTGTCGTTTTTATTTTTTTTGCCAACATTATCTTGTCCATAAAAGAAATTATATCAAAAAACAAAATGATAAAACTTGATAAAGAGTCTCAGTGAGTTATCGAGGGTCCCATGATTAATATAATTTTCAAATTCCAAACTCAGTTGTGTTTCTGTTATATACCTTGACTAGTGCATTTCACCAGCCTAAGTCAACAATTCTAAGACCCTTTTTAAAACTTTATCACTGTTTTTGTGTTTTTACTGAAATGGCTCATAAATATGGACAATTAAGTGTTTCCTCTCATTAACTACCATTTTAAAATTTAGTCCTTATATATGAATTATTGACTTTTTATATTCTGTATACACAGAATTTATTCACATGATAAAAATATATTTTATTTTATTAAACAGATTCCTGAGTTCACCTGACTAAATGTTACTGGTGTATATATAGGGCTATTTCTAAATCAGTATCTCTTGTGTATGTATGAGTGTTTGTGGGCATGTGTGTGTGCATGCATGTTTTTTAATAGTATTTGGTGGTTTATTATAGTTTACTTTTTAATGTAGTCAATGGATTTTAGTTTTCATTTTAAATACTGTAGAAAACATTAATATTATTTACTAATCATCTTTTTAAAAATGAATTGCAGCAAACCATTCACAATTTTGGAATTTAAAGAATGTCATCATGGCAAAATTTCGAAGAAAGACTTGCATCATTTTGTCACTTTTTATTCTATTTATTTTCTCTCTGATGATGGGCTTAAAGTTGCTGAGGCCAAATACAGCATCCTTTGGAACTCCTTTTGGGCTTGACCTTCTTCCAGAACTTCATCTACCAAACGCCCCCTTGGGAAACAAAGCTGACTTCCAAAAGAGTGATAGAATCAACATGGAAAGAAATACGAAGAACTCAAAAGCTGCTGACGTGCCTGTGAGGCCACCCAAAGCCTCGGAGGCGACCCTGGAAGAACTGCCTCCTCTGAATTATTTTTTACACGTATTTTATTACAGTTGGTATGGAAATCCACAATTTGATGGCAAATACATACACTGGAATCATCCCGTCCTGGAGCACTGGGACCCTAGAATAGCTAAGAACTATCCACAAGGGAGACATACTCCACCAGATGACATTGGCTCCAACTTTTATCCTGAGTTAGGAAGTTACAGCTCTCGGGACCCTTCTGTCATAGAAACTCACATGAGACAAATGAGCTCAGCCTCGATTGGTTGGTAATTAGTTTATTTTATTTACATATATAAATAATGTGTGTGGACAAATAAATTACTTATCAGTTTTTATACTTTTATTAATTACGATCTTAATTCATATCCCTGAATTAAGCTGTACTTTTTTTTTTCCCCCTTGGGAAAGCTTAAGGAAAAGGGTCATGAGTTGACCCTGCCTAGCTAAAATTGGGATCACTGTTGCCCTCTTTACTGCTAATCCTGACCCCACTCAGGCAACTGTATCTGATTTCTGTCACTGTGAAGTTATGATTGTTTCTTTCCTAATGACAGCAAAATGTATTTAGCTAATCTGTTTGCTTGTTATGATTTGCATTGCACAGAATTTTGTAATTCACCTGTTGTTAAAGATAACAGTTTTAGTCATTGTTATTAGCGATAATATCTCATTATATGATTGAGGGTGTTTGCTTCTGTAGTTGTGTTGGGCATTTCAACTATTCTTCCTTTCTGTAGCATAACAGTGTGGCTTTATTACTCTAACTACTCCTTTTTAATTTCTGTGTCAGTTTCATTTTTATTTAATGTAACGAGGTTTTAAATGTTCCATTTTGCATTTCCACTTGTCCTGTTTATGGTCTTTTCTTCATCTTTTATGTGCCTTATCTGACACTAATGTGAGGTTTTCAATCTTGCAGTCTCTTTTGGCCTAGTACATGTAGTCATTCTTACTTATTTTTAATATCACTATAGCATTGCAGTGTAAACATTTAACTTAACTGGTGAAAAGTGATCAGTTATTCTTATGTCACCCATACCCCTCATCTTTTTCTTTTCTCTGTATAATTTCAGAGTACATATCTTTAATCATAAACCCTTACCAATGACAGTATATTATCTGGCGTCTGAGAAATGTAGAGTCTCTAGAGCCAACATCTGAGGGTTCTACATAGCCAGGTCTGTTGTCTTTGGAGTTCCATTAATAAAGCCTGATGCTTTATTTCCTTAGATTTCTTTATTGTGTTTGCTTGTATTTTATTGATTATTCTCTGAAACATGCTTTTGAGCTCAAGAAGAAGATAGCTTCCTGAGTGACTGCTTTGTCTTTGCTGTTGAGAATGCTGATGCTAACTCACCTAAGTATCTGCAGAAAGTGCAGCAGAGACACGTGAGCACAGGAAGGCAGGCTGCAGGCTGCTGCTTCCTAGAGCTGCTTCACTCCTAGAGGAGACTGACTTCCGGGATCATGGTCATTACTAGCTTAGTCACTTGGCTAGTACCTTTTTATTATTGAGTAGGTCTTTGTTGTCATGGCATTTCTTCTTGCCCTTTGCTTGATGATTCTATGCTATTAGATCAATAGCTGTTAGAAATTATTAGAATCATGGTTTGAATATGGAAGAATTCATTTTTCATAATTTTTGTGTGCGTTTTGGCTTTTTGATATGGGTTGCTTCCCTTATGTGTGTTTATTTTCATTGCTTTTTCTGAGAAGGAAGTTTGTTTCCTGGGCTGTATGTTGATCAGTTTTCTTCCAACTTTGGTTCTCACCAACATCATTATCTAGGTGCAACTCCCCTGTTCAATAGCCGTAACATTCCTGGATCTCTATCCACTATTAGTTCTTTGTTCTGTTCAATGTTTTGCTTTTTTGCTGTCCATGGATAGCAGACAAAGATAGCCTTTTCCCCCATTAGCTTTAATGAAAGGGCCACTTTGTTCCTCCAGCTAGAATTCTTATCTAACGTATTAGAACTATGAGAAAATTAAGTGTTGAAATCTAGGTCTCCTGCAGCTTCTTACTCTTTACTGTTTAAGAATTTCATCCATGCATTTAATATGTATTAATAAATCTAGTCCCCATTCTCTCCCCTCCAGTTCTTCCCCTAGCCCCCAGCCACCATCACTTTTCGTTTTCAAACTTATGTGCTTTTTTTATAAACCTACTGAGTCCAGTTAGCGCAGCTGATATGTGCATGATAAGGCCATCTCCTGAAACATGGATCACCTCTTAGTGACCACATCCCTGCAGAAAACTGATTTTTGCTCAAATAACAACCTTCAGATTGTCAATAGTTCCTCAGCTAATGGTGACACTGGATTAGCCCTGCCCCTCTCCATGGTAGAATTTTGGCTGCTTTGATTTCTTAATTCTACAAGCTTTCCTTTATATAAGATTATTTCTTTCCTTTTGTAGAAAAAAAATATTGATTAGTTGAGATACCCATGCTGTCTGTCTCTACTGTCCTGCATTTCTCTATTTATATTTGGAGTTTTGAAGTGTTTGTCTTAAATATGTTAACTGTAGTTAATGATTTCTCTGTAGTCTGGTGTTTCTAATACCTAAAGTGTAATTTCTTAGTACAGAAATAAGTGAGTACTGTGGGGAACAATTCCAATCAGTTTGCCTGTATTAAATCTTAAGTTAAATTATATTTATGTGTTTAAAAATTAAAACCCTAGCATATGGGTGCTTATAGAAGTTTTATTCATAGTTGCCAAAATTTAAAAGCAACTAGCATGTCCTTTAATATGAACATTAAACATCCACACAATGGATATGCAGCAGTAGAAAACTATGACTGAGTCATGAGACATCATGAAAGACCTACAATACAAATCGCCAAGCAAATGGGTCCAGTTGTAGAGCACTACATACTTTATGATTTCAGCTCTATGACATTCTGGCAAAGGCAGAATTATAGAGGGTGAAAAATCAGTTACTGCTGGGTGTAAACAGGGAGGAGGGCTACATAGGTGGAGACCTAATGTTTATAGTAATTCAGTCTGTCTGGTACCATAATGTTTAGCTTATGAACTTACAGTTTTGTTAGACTCTACAGGACTGCTTGACATTAGTAAAAACTGTGGTCATTAGTTAACAATAATATGATGGTACTGTCCATCAAACATAGTAAATACTGCAAATAGTATGTGAATGTAAATAACTGGAGGAGAGGGTTGTGGTCTGTAGGAGACCATTTAGAAGGACTACGTGCCTTCTTGCTAAGAGACTTAATTATTCTAAAATGTGTAGTATGTTAATTTGAAAAGATATCGGTTGCTTAAAATAGTTCATAAATATTGGATAAAGTAATCAAATTGCTGTAATATCCTTTGAATGTACTTGGAACTCATATGGCGATCACTCTCCTTGCTTTTCATTCTTCGTTATGCTTTACTTTTAGGAGTCCTGGCCCTTTCTTGGTACCCACCTGATTCGAGTGATGATAATGGAGAAGCTACTGATCACTTGGTACCAACGATTATGGATAAAGCTCATAAATATAATCTGAAGGTATTTAATTTGTTTTCAAACTATTTTTATCATTGTTACCTCTGGATAGTAATACTATGTTAATTACTCATTTTAATTAAAATTTTATACATGTAGAAATGTTTTAAAATATTACTTCATAAAAGTTTGTTTTATGAAACAGAAGTATTCTAAAAAATGCTTGTTTTAATAATTGAAATTCTAATGCTTATCCAATTATAAGATACCCCTTGCTTTTTTTTTTTTTTGTAACCATGTGTTATATTCATCTACTACATTTTGTATCTTTTTTTAAACAGGGACTCATTATGTAGCTCTGAGTGGCTTGGAGTTTGTTATGTAGACCAGATTGATGAACTCACAGTAATCCTCCTGTCTCTGCCTCTCAAGTGCTATGATTAAATACATGCACCCATTTATCTGTATTTATTAGGAAGAGAAAGGTTTTATGGATTCCTTTGTAAACAGACTATTAGAAATTAGTGAAGTTTATGTCTGGATATGCTTTAAATGTCAAAAGTGACTGTGTTTAACTATATAACTTTACATCTTTAAAAAGTGGTTAGAAAATAAATTCCTGTCCAAATATTTTTTTTTTTTTTATTTTTGAAATTTTAAACTAAGTCTTTGAGAAATTTGTACAGGTGCTTTTTGTTCATAGTCACAATATCTCCTGTCAGATTCACCCCCTCTTACCTGCCCTCCCTGTCTCTGTTTCGCTTTCTCTCTCTATATATATAGGTTCTAGGTCCTAGAGGAGAACTTACTACTATTATTCTGCTAAATGGACATGGTATTAAGCTAAACTCCTAGTGATTTACTGTTATACCCATCGTTCTACCCATAGAGATACTTGTTTCTGCAGTACATATATATATTTCTCTCTCTCTCTCTCTCTCATCCTCCCATCAAGTCCAGTTTATGCTGTCCAATATTCTTGGATGTTTGGCCTTCCATTGGAGTTTGGTTGAGATCTCCCTGCCTCTGCCTCCTGAGTGCTGGGATTAAAGGCTTGTTACACTACTGCCCAGCTCTAGTTTCTCTTCAAATAGTATAAATCTTTTGTATCTCTTATATCTGTCTTTTATCTTATTTCTATAACTAAGAGTTAAAGTTCTCTATTGACTTCAGCATGTAAAAAAAGGGTTGACACCCTTCTGTGGTGATGCTTTGAATCTTTTCCATTTAGTGTGTTGTTGAATATAAATATGCCATATTATGTCAAAGTGGGTACCTTTTCTTCTTAGGGTTTAAGGAATTCTTTTTCTTATTTTCCTGTGTTATGAAAAAATTTTGTGCTTTTTCTATATCTATTTATTTCTATCCTTGAACCTAGTTATGTAATTTCTTACCTTTGTTGATTTGCATGGTTTGAATAAGTCTGTTATTGGGCATTTCAAGAACGATTAATTGGAAGATATTTAGGTATTCCTTTAATCTTATTATGTGTGTAGATATGTTAATGATCTTCTTGTTTTAATTTTAGGAGGACATATGTTCCTAGAAATGTATCCATTACTTCAGAATTACACAAAATATTGGAACATATGTTTGGAAGTATGCCCTACAGTCTTATGTATGTCATTTCCATACTCCTTCTTTGATCTATATATTGGTTAATATTAAGTGACATATTCTTTCCTAGTCTTGTCTATTTTGAATTGTGAAATGCCTGTATCTCTTCCTAGATTTAGGAAATTTGACATTTTGTTTTATGGAGAACAACTTTTAGTATTTTTCACTTTTGTCTATGTCCTTGATTTGTAAATTGATTTTTTAATTATATCCTATGTGTCTCACTTAATTATATCCTATGTGTCTCACTTAATTATATCCTATGTATCTCAATTATATCTTATGTATCTCACTTGCTTTGCTTATACTTTCTTTTTGTTTTATCTTTATTGATGCATTAATGTTCTTAATTATTTACTCTTCAAGCCTTGGTCTTCTGTGTTTTCTTTGATCCTTTCATTGGTAAGGGTTTCTACTAATTTGTTTTTTTGTTTTGTTTAGTTATTTCTTGTGTTTTATTTTTACGTTAAAAATCTACATAATAGTTGGACAAATAGTTTCTAAAATGGACCAAATATAAAATGTTTTAGGCTTTTTGGGTTATACGATATCTTTAAAAGATATTTTTTAAATCTTCTTTTATTATATTTTTGGTATGAAAATTTTTTTTCACACAATATATTCTGACCATGCTTTTTCCTCCCTACTCCCAGATTCTACTCACCTTCCCAAGTTCGTGTCCTTTCTCTTTTAAAAAATAAACACCAAAGAAAAACTAATAAACAAAACCAAGAAACTTGCATACATACATAAAAATACAAACAGAAACCATAATATGCACACAGATGACCAATAAGACAAATATTGCCCACATAGAACAGTATGAGATGAAAAGTCTATAAAAGCTTTGAGTTTGTTTTGTATTAGCCATCTACTACAGGGCATGGGGCCAACCTGAAGCATGGTCAATATACCCAGTGAGATATACTTTTTTCCTTTGCAAGTGGATGTCAGTGCAGATAACTTCTTGCATAGGTATAGGAACTTACATAATTCACATCCACTTAAACCACTCAGCACTGTGACCCAGTCTACTTAAACCTGTGCAGGAACAGTGAGTGATTTCCCTATGTTCTGTGAATCCATATGTACACCCTATTATGTCTAGAAATGTTTCCTTGGAGTCATTCATCCTTTCTGGTTCTTACAGTCTTTCATCTCCTTTTATGAGCTCTGAACGGAGGTGTTTGATAAATATCCCAAATAGTAGTACTAAGTGTTCTAAAATTTTTTACTCTTTGTACATTATCAAGTTATGGGTTTCTGTATATTTCCATCTACTACCAAAGAAAACTTCTTTGATGATGGCTGAGACACTGATCTGTAGATGTAGCAAAATCTTGTTAGAAATCATTTTGTTACTATACTCCATAGAGCATAGCAGTAGTCCGTGATTTTCCTCTAGACCTATGGCCTATCCAGTCTCAGGCTCTGGGCTACCCAGCAGGGCCATGCATGGCTACCAACTCTTGGAGTGGACCTCAAATGAGAGTAGTTGGTTACTCCTACAATGCTTATGTCACTATTGCAGGTGGTCACCATTGTAGATCGCAAATTTGTATCTGGGTTGGTTTTTAGCTTTCTTCTCTGGTAGTGTGTAGAGTACCTTCTAGTCCCATGAATATTCAGTGTGAAGGAACTACAAGGTCAACGTTTCCAGGTTCCGTGACTTATGCAAGTGTTATATTCAGTAACAGTTTAACACTGAATTTTTCAGTTAGCTTTTCCCAGATTTTCATTTGATTTTTTAAGTATTTATTTATCCATATTAAATTTATTTCATATCATGCATTGATCACCTTTTTTATCTAGGTGCTAATATTCTTTTTTATTTTTTTTATTTTATATACTAGCCTCAGTTCCCCCTCTCTCCTTTCCTCCTACCTTCCTGCTTTTCCCCGTCCTATCCCTATCCACAACTTAGAGGAGCTAAGGCCTTCCTTAAGGTGTCAACAAAGTCCTGTATATCAAGTTGAGTCAGGACCAAGCCCCTGCCACCTTGTATTAAAGCTAAGCAAGCTATCTTACCATAGGGAATTTATGTCCTTTTAGAATTTGCTCAGTCTTCTTTTGTATTATCCTCTTGAATTCTTTCTCTGGTATTTCATTCTGGATACCTTGTTTTGGAAATCTTATTACTGTTGAATTGGTAATTTTGGGAGGAGTCCTATTTTCTTTACTTTCGTGATCATTATTTCTTTGTTAATATTTGCATAGCTAAGATTAGGTCATTGTGGATTTTTATTATATGTCCTTTATTTCTTGTGTTGAAATTAGAAATTCTTTTTGGCATTTTTCTTCTGGGACTAGTTTGTGTAGCACGAATAATATAAACCCAGAGACAGATATTAGGGTTCAACCTGAAGATCAGAAAACCAGAGCAGCCAGCCACAGGCTCTTACATCTACCTCAGACCAAAAATGGGTGATCCTGCCTCCATGAATCCTCAGATTGAGACTGAGACTGAAACCTGTCTCCTCCTGTTTTATATCCCTCTCTAGGGCTGGGATTAAAAGTGTGCACCACCACCACCCTGCCTCACTGGCTAACTAGTATGAGATTAAAGGTGTGTGCAATCACTGCCTGGGCTGTATGGCTGAGTAGTGTAGCTGCTTTGCACCGATCTTCAGACCAGCTTTGTTTATTAAAGCACAAATAATATACCACTATTTATTTGAGGCAGAGTTAATATGTCTTTGCCTTCTGTCTCATATATTAGACTTATAGCTCACTTCCTCAGGGGGGCATCAAGTATAATATCCAGCTCAACTCCAATAGAGTATTTGAGGAGAACGCCACTGATGGGAAGACCTTCTATGGAAACTAAGTAATAGTTAAAAACAGCTATCTCCCCTAAGTCTAATGATCACTAAGAAATAAAGAAGAGAATATTTGCTGGTATATCACCTACTAACTGTAGGTATGGAAAGACAGTAAATTGAGTGTCACCAGGAACTCATATAAAATAGTAAATAGAAGAGAAGAATTGGGAAAGTGTTAGGGAAATCAGACCCTAAAGATTGTTGACATTCGAAAATTGCATTTAGGAGTCTGTAGAAGAGGGGCTGGGAAAGAGAACAAGATGACACGAAGTAGAAATGAGAGAGAAAGTATATGGGCTGAAAGACAGAATACTTGAGAGGACACAGTGGAAATAGTGTTAAATCTAATAGAGCAATATAAGAAATAAAAACAAATACTTAGCGAGAATGAAGATTTTAAAAAAAATTAAAATTAAATAAAAATACCAGTTTAAATTTCTTTCATGATTAGAACATCAGGAAAAGCTCTCTTCTGCCTGAGAAGTCTTATTAAATGATCGTTGCTACTGAGAGAGGTGTTTACCTTTCTGTGCAGTTCAGATCTGACTATGCAGAGTCTCAGTAGTGACCCGTAAGTTTGCCTGTGGGGTTGAATTTCTGCCTGGTTTCAGAAGCGAAGTTCACCCTTCCTTAGATGATTTCTGACCCTTGACATGGGTGGGGTGTTGTTGCCTAGGCCAGTTCCCTTTTCCCAAATGTAATTGGTGATCTCACTAACCTTGCCTAGAGTTCAGTGTTGCCTGTACCACCCTGTTCCTGTGTCACTTTGCAGCTAACAGTTTTCATCCTGCTGAGGCTCAGCCTGCCTGTGTCAATGGTCTTAATATGACTTTGTTTATTCCACAGAGTTTTAGATCAGATGAACTCCCATGAGGGGTTCTGAGGTTCTCTGGGTCTCTCTTGGGGTTGGAGTTTGGAGACATGGGTATGTACTGTTTTCTATGCTTCCTAGCAATATATTTAATTGCTTGTACCTTCTCCCTCTTGCTCCAACATACTATGTGACATCTTAGGGCAGAGGCAGAGATTTCCCACCACCTGTGTTATGCAGTCTGTTAGTCTGACTTTAAAAAAAATTTCTTTCTGTCTTTGCTTCTGGACATTTATCTTTTCTCTTTTCTTTTATGGATCTAAATTAGGGGGAGGAAGGATTTTCTTTTGTAGTTTGTATTACAGTCTGTCTTTTTTTAAAAAATACATAAAGCTAACTTAAATATTTCCGTAGCCCTAAAGAAAGTCTTGATAGTATCTCTCAAATAAATTGACAGGAGCTATGACATGACATGCTCCACAGTGTCATTCAGTGAATGCTCATCGGCGTTTGGAATCTGCAGTAGTCACATCTTCAAGTCTGGAACTGCAACTGAGGTTGATTAAGTCATTGGTTTATTTTTTTCTCAAAAGAAATCCAAGGCCCCTGATCTGTCCAGTCTGTGCCCCAGTGCTGTTGTGGACAGTAATGGAACTGGACATTTTCGTTTACTGAGGTTTTTAAAGATAAAGTAGTTAGAATATCATTATACATGAAAATAGACTGCTTTTAATTCTACTGAAAGCTCTCATATGGAAGAGGAAATGAATGAAGACCTTGGCCGATCATTGTTTCTCTAACATTAGCAACATACTTGTTCTCTCCATTCTTTAGATTTAATATTTAATGACCAGAAAATATAAAATTTGATAAAATACTGTTCTCCATTTTTTTCTTGCAAATATTCATGTTTCCCCAAAGCTGAATAAAGATTGTTTGCCCTCAGTAGCTCTTCAAATTACCAGATTTATTTTGAAAATTGTTTAATAATTATACTATATTAATGTGACATTAACTTCTACAAATACATTTCTGTTTATTTATTTATTTTTGGTTGGGTTGATTTTACAGTTCTCTCTGTTTGGAATTTAAAAAGTGTTTAGTTTCACTTTTGTTATTACTTGTTTAGAAATAGAGGTTCTAGGTAATGGCTTTGCCTTACAGTTAAGCTTTTGTTATAGTCTATTAGTTTGATTACATAATAGCTTTAGTCACTAAATATTTTGTATCTGCAGTTTTGATTATTTTAAACTAAAAGTCATGTTTTTAATTATAATTGAAGAAACACAGTTAATAAAACATGTTTGAGGAATTAGTGACTTCTTTTGCATAAGTTTTCCCATGTTGACAGTTTTCCCAAATATAAATCAGTAAAATCTAAATCTAAATGGTGACTAGTTTTTTCAAGGTAATTTTTTTGTGTATGCTTGTATTATTCTTTGGAGCAGACCCTTGAAGCCTTGTAACTGTAATTCCAGAGGGCATTGAAGCCACAGTTATAAGGATCACAGCTGGATGCTTTCAGCTTACTATGTCATGTCTATGTAACATCCTGAGAAAACAACCGTTGAAACAGCTGCTATAGATGTGGAGGAGCTGATTGGTAGACACTGCCACTGTTGAGCACAGGCCTGTTCCCTTGTCCTTCTTAGGAAGTGAATATTTCCTGTCCAGTAGATGATAGGTTCTCTGCCTGGCCTGTTTGGGCTAATGAATTGTCAGAAAATATGATGCATGCCACGTGCTTCATGTTTGTACTTGTGTTGGCTTTAGTATAAGAAGAAACTCCACCCTTCCCTAGAATCCAAATGACTAAAACTGTGGAACTTATTTAAACTTGATCCACAGTCTAGAACAAATCCATCACAGTAATAAATAAAGTTTATGTGCATCAAATAAAATTGAAAGTTAAAAATTGTGAGTGTTTGTTATACAACATCATCACATCAGATCCCAAGGAAACCAAAGACCTAACAACATAAAATTAGTTGGAGTAATCATTTCTTTCCCCGAGGAGTATAAGGGCAAAAAAAACCCCACCCCAGTTGTTGAATACTTTATATTTCAATAAATTTAACATTTTATTATGAAGTAACAAGTTCTTTAACCTTTGCGTAAATCATTTGTCTAATAATAATGGCTTTTAATCAGTTATGTTTCTCAAATGAGGAGTATACATTCACAGTGAGAACTTGGCAAATCTTACCTAAATGGTATGTAATTAGACCACCTAGAGTTTAATTTGACAATTGTTTAGTATACATTGAAATCATTAATTCAAGCTTGCAGATACTCATGCAGTGTACTCTGCAGCAGATTCTGTTCTACGTATGAGCAGTATTAGGAAAGAGAGCTGGATATGTTTGTACACACCTGTAATGTTAGGTGGAAGGTAGAGGCAAGAGGATGGGGGCTACAAAGCCAACCATATCAAAACTGAAAAAAAAAAAACAGGTTTTGTCTCCTATATAGCAAATTTGCAGTCTACTAAAGAACAAAACGGTAGAGGCAAGAGGATGGGAGCTACAATGCCAACCATATCAAAACAGAAAGAAACAGATTTTATCTTCTGAATAGCAAATTTGCAGCCTACTGAAGAACAAAACCAAATACAAGTTAAGTTCTGGAAAGAGAAAATGACTACATATTTGACATTAGCAGCTATATAGGTGGAATGCCTCACCTGTGTATGATATAAAGGTTCCCAGTGAAGTCAAGGGATGGGGGAATTAAGGGAGAAGTGGTTTGGCTACAGGGTTCAGAGAGTTTGGGTAAAGCCAGTATCACAAGTGTGAAATGGAATTCTTACGTGATTCACATTCTCTAAAAACCATGCACACAAATTTAATTTCATGTATCTAATTCTGTCATTTAAAATTCATTTTACTGTTAGTGTAATATTTTTCTGAAAAGAAGAGTTAGAAATAGTGAAAAAATCCGTTATTAATTAAAAAATATAAAATTAATTAGTTGAGAAGTTCTAAATATATAACTTTGAATTTGCAATATATATATCTACACTTGATGGAAGAAGCTGATCATTTATGGTCTGCAGCTTTGAAAGCAGATTGTAAGGATGTCTTGACCTGAGTTTGTTATTGCCAAAACCTTACATCATTGTGCTCTTATAAGTAGAGAATGATTGATTTGCTAAATGACCTGACTTTAAAAATACTTCTGTGAAAATTTACTAATGAAAATACATTGTGCTTTAATTGGATAATTAACAAAAGAATTAAGCTTGCAGTACTGTAAAAGTCTTGTCAAACAGGCAGTCCCATTTAAAATATAAGATTCAAACAATTTTATTAGATTACCAATAAAATAGACTTGATATGGATAACTCAGTGAATTTAAGAATACTTTTTATGATTATCTTTTTAAAGTTCATTATTCCTTATGCTGTTTATCTTACTAGTTAGAGATAGTGTACAAAGCCAACCTGTTTATTAGACATAATTTGTTCAACTTGATTATGTACAACTAATATGTATAGGTAGGTATAGGTAGGTACCACACATTGTATCCAACAAACTGGGGCCTATTAGCAACTGACTAGACCCATACCAACTTCTTTATTTCAAAACTCGAGTCAGCGGCCACCTTATACAGTAACAGAGGCTGGCGTATGAGATGCTTCACTTAGGTTAGCTGTGAAAACTCTCAGTATTATCTACCAAGATTTATTTAGTAACCACTAAACTCACTAAATTTTCACTTTAATGTTGTTGAATTGACAGCTTGTTAACAATGCAAAATATACTTTCATAGATAATGCTTTCTTTAATTGATTTTTTTCCCTGTTTTTTTAGGTCACCTTTCATATAGAGCCGTATAGCAATCGAGATGATCAAAACATGCATAAAAATGTCAAGTATATTATAGACACGTGAGTTTCTTCAATGTTCATAGTTACGCTCTTTGATCTGGTAATGGGAATTGGCTTATGATCTGTCATTTCTGGTAATTTTACCACAAGTAAACTGACAAACATTCTCAGGTTCTTACAGTTTACTTTTTGCATGAATAAAAGTTGCTACTTTAGCTATTTTTATATACCTTAAAAGATATGTATGATTTCCTTTTGTGCTCATTTTACATTTCTGTTTTTAAAATCTTATGAATATACATTTTGTCTTTTAAAGGAAGGTTCAAATGAAATATGAACTAATTTTATAGCAGTGTTTGCATATCTTCATTTGTATCTAGAATAACAAAAAAAAGAATTTTATGATTATTTTCATTCTTATAAAGTACTTTACTGTTAAGATTTTCTGAGGTATTTCATTTTACAAAGAATCCTCTCAGCAACAAATGGACATCTGTCATTGATAAGATAAATAGGTTTTTCCATTTGTGTAGTTCATAATAGACTTTTATAGCTTTAATCACCATTTGTTAACTTTGGCATGAGATAATTAACCTCCTGTTTGAAGTATACCAGTGTCTCATAATGTATGAAATTAAAAGTATGATTGCATTAGCATTATTATGCTTCCATAACTGACTCACTGAAGATTGGGAACAGTGTGCTCAAGCTCTCAAATCATTGTCAGTTCAGTGTATAATTTTATTGTGACATATTCTCACTTTTCAATGTTTCTTTATTGTAGATACGGAAACCATCCAGCCTTTTATAGGTACAAGACAAGTACGGGGCAATCTCTGCCTATGTTTTATGTCTATGATTCCTATATAACAAAACCTAAAATGTGGGCCAATCTGTTAACACCTTCAGGATCTCAGAGTGTCCGCGGTACTCCTTATGATGGATTGTTTATTGCACTTCTCGTAGAAGAAAAGCATAAATATGATATTCTTCAAAGTGGTTTTGATGGAATTTACACATATTTTGCCACCAATGGTTTCACGTATGGCTCATCACATCAGAACTGGGCAAACCTGAAGTCATTTTGTGATGAGAACAACTTGATGTTTATCCCAAGTGTAGGCCCAGGATACATTGATACAAACATTCGTCCATGGAACTCTCAGAACACTAGGAACCGCATCAATGGGAAGTATTATGAAGTCGGTCTAAGCACTGCACTCCAGACCCACCCCAGTTTAATCTCCATCACCTCTTTCAATGAGTGGCATGAAGGAACTCAGATTGAAAATGCTGTCCCCAAGAGAACCACTAACACAGTATACCTGGATTACCGACCTCATAAGCCAAGTTATTATCTAGAACTAACCCGAAAATGGTCAGAAAAATACAGTAAGGAAAGAATGGCATACGCATTAGATCAACAGCTGCCTGCTTCGTAATGTATATTATAGTTTATTTATCAAATTGCCTAACTTCAGTAAACATCCTATGTTTTGATTATGAAGAGAAAACTGTCAAACTCAATGTGCATTTGGCTACTGTTCCCTCTGCCAGTTACTTCATTTTTATTTTTAAAAGAAGATATCACTTGTTCTATACAGAACCATACAAAGAAAACATCTCATGAGAGATGTCATGCGGTAGCATTCTTTATGGCGTATTTTTCTGAAGTTTGAATGGGATGGCCATTTAGGTTTCTGTTTCACAGTAGAGAAAGTGCTTGCATTTATAAACTAGCTAACATGCAGGTAAGCTGTACTTGTATTCTGAATCCAAAGACAGGAGCATGTACGTGTTAGGTACATCTGACCACAGAAATAGAGAACAAAAGGACAGTAGATGGATATGCATCATTTCTGAACTCTTTGCTGGCTCTCAGTTTTGTTCGTATTCAGTTTTTGGCTGGCTTCCCCTAGTGATCAAATGCACTTGTCAAATTTCTTGTGAGCAAAAACTTGTTTAAATTACAGGCTATTTTATTTTATTTTCTAATCTGACTGTTAGCCATATTCTTTTTTAAATTGTTTTTATTGAGCTATATATTTTTCTTCACTTTCTTCCTCCCCTCTCCTATCCTCTCTCATGATCCCCACGCTCCCAATTTACTCATGAGATCTTTTCTTGTTCTACTTTCCATGTAGATTAGATCCATGTATGTCTCTCTTGGGGTCCTCTTTGTTTAGGTTCTCTGGAGTTGTGAATTGTAGGCTGGTTTTTCTTTGCTTTATGTCTAAAGCCACTCATGAGTTATATTTCTGGATCTGGATTACCTCACTCAATGTTATGATTCTAGATCCACCCATTTGCCTGCAAAATTCAAGATGTCATTATTTTCTGCTGTGTAGTACTCCAGTGTGTAAATGCACACATTTTCTTATTCATTCTTCAGTCGCGGGGCAAGACAGGCTTTGTGCAGAGCATTCATGGTGTCATCACTTGAAGACTCGGGGCCTGCAGTGCCGAGTGCTTTTGCATGTTTAATGTCCCTGTTTGCTCTGCTGAATAAAGACTAGAAGCATTAGGATGTAGCTTAGGAAATGGTAGCAACTGCTTCTATGTTATAAAAAAAAAAAAAATTGTTTCTCAGTCATCATAAGGTTTCTGGAATTCAGATACTCTATTTTTAGGGCATCTTGTCAATCTTTCTAGTCTCATTTTCTTATTCATATGTTAAAATTAAATGTTCACCAGAGACTACTGAATTGACTATGAAAGTATAATGTTAGAATTTTATTCATTTTACTAAAAATAATACAGAAAATTTACTTATAACTGCAAAATTAGAGATAGATACAAATGATTTTAAGGTAGCACCATATTTTTGAAGTATATGCTTATATGAAAAAGTCTTTTACAGTGTCTATTAAGTTAAAAAGAAAATAACAGTGATCCATAGCTGTCATGTGGTTAAAAATTGATAACTTTTATGCTAAAAAGAAATTATTGTAAAAATGAAAAGGTTTTTTAAAAATCTACTGAATTCAATATTTATAATTATAATAGAAATATCAGCTAGTCTAGCTAATTTTACACAAATGTTATTTATTAACTCTACTGAGAGAATCAGTTGAGTCATGTTAACAAATAACACATGCCAATCTCCAAAGCATAAAGACATTCCGAAAGAGACTAGTTCTGGAATTGGCCATAAAACACAGCAGAGAGGAAACATCTTTTAGGGTAAGGGAGACTGATGAGTAAGTGCAAGCATGAGGGCCTAGATGTGAACACCCAGAACTCACATAGAGATGAGCTCACTAGCATCCATGTTCTACTCCACTGCTCCTGCAGAGCTGAGCAGTGTAGACAGGAAAGAGCCTGAGAGTGTGTGAGCCAGCTAGCCTGCTGTACACAGCAGCAAACAAGATCCTGACTCAAAAACGGTGGAAGGCAAGGATCAACATACAGGGTGGTTCTCTGACATGGACACCCACCCCATGTCACATTTACTCTCACAGTTACTTATGAATATTTGCAGACACACAGAGAGAAGTTTAACTTATTTTTCAAGCAATGCTTTTGGAATAAAATCTTTTTGAAGAGAAATACTAACCTTCTAAAATTTAAACTTTCCAATGATCATAGAATTATTAGGCCACAGAAAGTTATGAGAATAATAATCTGGCATTTTCCAGGATAAATTCTAAGAGTAATAATATAATATTTAATATTATCAAGCATCTTCATTGGAATAAGCAGAAATATAACCTGTAGATTTTTAATTGCTCCTATGTTAAAAATGAATTATCAATGCATAGTATTTTATAGTATATATTGCTTTCTTCATTCCTTATGTTGCATTTTATATTTGAGTCTCCCGTGACGAAAAATGAATTTTATGAAACAGTTCTGTGATTAAGGGAAAGTCTATGAAAATTAGGAAACACAACTGTCAGTTCAACTGTAGCTTCTGGCAGCTCACTCTAACACCAGAGTTACCCCCTTCTGGTTTCCACAACCAAATATTCAACCAACTTGGAGCAGAAATTCTCTGAGTATGTTCAGGGTACTGTTTCTATCCTGGAAGCCGTACAGTATAACCACAATTTACATTTTTCTAGCTATTATAAGTAAGCTGAGATGATTTCAAGTGTACCTGAGGATCATTCTAGGCTATGTTCAAATATACTGTTTGACTTTTTCAAAGGACCAGAGAATTTTCAGCCATTTTTAGCTCTGGGTCCTGGAGCCAGTTCCACACTAGTACCAAGGGATGGCTATATTAGCAATTGTTGCTAATGATTGTTAGAGAAACACCTTCAGAGCACCCAACCCCCACCCCTTAGGTTCCTCTGCTGTCTGACTGGAAACACAGCTGGGATTGCAATGATCACAAATAAATTTAATCCATTAATCCAGTTTCTATTTTTAAAAATCTGTTTGTATTCAGCAAACTTAAAAAAGGTATAATATGTGCAATGCTTGGATTATAATCAATTATTTTGTAAGGTATTTATTTTGTGGGATTAACCCATCTAATTGTTTAGATTGTAGAGAATAACCAGGTCTTTTTTTGCTTTTAAGAAATAATTATAAAAGGCTCCCCATAGTAATGCTTATCTGAATTGTGTATTAACTTGTTTATCTTCTTTTATTTATGTGTGTAATTTGGAAAATGATTTATTTTGTAATATGTTAATTTTGTTTAATAAAAACAAACAAAAATGATGTTCTTAATTGAAAATCTGTTTATTGTTAACTTGTGATAACTTTTATTTGATTTCTTATTAGTATAGGAGAGGTAGTATTTAGTCAGTATGAGATGGAGCACTTACAAGTATATTTAACTTTTTGTATTCACATAAATGCCAGTTTTTGTTTAATTCTGGAGATGTGACTTTTTAAGTCTTAAAAAAAATTTAAAAAATTTATTACAAAATATAAAAAAAAATATTAAAAAATTTGAAATTCTTTTGTAACTTTTGCTTCGGTACAATTTATACATTACCTCCGATGAAAACTAATCTAAAATAGTGAAGTAACAAGCCTCAATTGAATGACCACACCCATAGTTATGGGCCTTGTAAACTGGTGACAGTTACTTAGTTTAATAATGGTGACGTCCCAAGCTTATAGAGCTGCAGCAACAGACCTTTACAACTGTCAAAATATCATAGCTGTAGTAAGCCAGCTTGCTTTCTTAGTTTCTCTTTCAGATATTTTATTATTGCCATGTAGAAACAGTGCTGGTTTGTATGTTATTATCATGGCCCACCGCTGTGCTAGATTTATGTACTCAAGCACTTCTGGGTAGAATTAGGAGGAAAGGAGTAGCCTCTGTACATAAGATCATTTCATGTGCCCACAATGGCAGTTTAATTTCCAATTTGTGTATTTTTTGTTTCTCTTGACTCATGTGCTAGATAGGACTACCTTACTATGTTTAATAAATAAAGATGTTGTGGAATTTTGATTAACAGTCAAGCGCTTGAGAATCATTATGTGGAAAAGCAACATTTTACTTAAATACAGCCAAAATATATTTAAATAAATATTTACCATTTTAGAAAAAAAAGATTACTTAGGTCGAAGCAAAGGTCTTTATTGTTTGGAACATTTCTTTGAAAGAAAAATGCACTCCAAATTAAATTTAAAACCACTTTGCTGTATAACTACTTAATGTTCATTTATTATTTTTGAGCTTAGTCTATTTTTTTTAATTCTTAAGAATGCAGGCTCTATTATCATTTACTACTTCATAGAGACTCAGCTCTAGTCACATCAGTGAACTAAGCATTATTGCTATTCTAATCTGTCAGCAGAACTGAGGGGTTTGTTGTCATACAATTACTATGTAAATTATGATATAAAAATAACCAAAAGCAAATCATGAGTCTAAAATTTATCAAAATATAATGGCATTTTACAAGTACATATCCTTGATTTTATTTTAAAATATAAATTTTGAGTAGCACAGTTTACATAAAACTGGCAATTAATTCAACTCTAAAGTTAAATGGTCTTTATAAAATGCTTTGAAACAAATACTTCATGATTCAAAGCAAGGATTGCCATGAGATGATATTGCTTATATTTCAGTGTATTTTATATATTTTGTAATGCATCATATGTGTGTAGTATATGTTGCTTTGAAAGTAGATTAAGTGAAAACTAAGCAAAGATCATTCTAGTTTTAGATTCTTCAATAACAATGACTTCACTAGCACTAGGCTAGATTTCCAGTATCTGACATTGTCTTCTTGTTGAGTGGGTCTTAAATTCAGTTAGAAAGCTGTTGGCTACCATCTAGGTATGTGTGACACTAATGCATACTTACAGTTACTGTGCAATTTTCTATTTTAAATCCCGTGTCAATACATAGTACTCGCTAGTTCACAAAAGTGACAATTTAGCCATAACAATAGCAGACAAGTCCATAATTCAAGAAGGGTTCTGCATTTGTTATAGCCTACCCCAATGCTAACCTGATGTACTTTCAGAAATGAAAACAAATTAGCTAGGTGTATATATCTCATCAGTGTTCTCTAATATTCCTCATACTTTTGCGTTTGGGGAGCTAGTTTTAAGGTTTTATTCCACTGAGAGTCATGTGGCATACTTTTGTTACATGGTGTTTATATACAGAATGCAATCTAATATGCACCTATTTTTGACTTGACGTCTTGCAAGGAGATAAACAAGACATACATTTCATTTTAGCCCCACTTTTGCAACCTTCTTTAAATCTTTTATCCCCAGTCACTTCTTGCCCACAAATTTACCTATCTTCCTTAGTCTTAGTCTACTGATTTTTTTCAATACCCTTTGTTTCAGAAATGTGCCAAAGATTTATTAGAATGCATGGCACATGGCACTCTGGTCTCAGAAACATAAAAATAATACGGAGACGTATTTTGAATCTGATATAAAAAGTCAGCTCTACTGTGGTAAAACTCACTTCTAATTGATGGTCACAAAATTTCTTTCAAACTTGAATTGCCAGTTGAAAAAATATGATTCATGCTTTCAACAGTTTTCACCTTTAAGAGAAATTATCAAGAATTATGTAGGTTCCTTGTTAATAGAGAATTTCTAATGTGCATGTCTTTGTGTGTATTTGTATTTGTGTATCTGCGTTTGTGTCAGT